CCTAAACAACACAGCTACTGGTAAGGATTCACTGAAAGACAGGTTGTTGTCAACAAATGATTTTTTTTTTAATTTATTATCCATTCCTTCATAAAAGGAATGTGGTAATGTAGAAAAAGCTGGGATCTGGAGGAAAGGATGTTTTAGAAATGGCAACCTGGGAAATAGGGCACAGTCACCATTTATTGTAATTCTAGGTATGGCAGTTCAGGCTGTGAATGATAATTAATCCAGTGGCATCTCCATTCAAGAGCAATCATCATCAGTACCATCCTTTCTAAAAGATGTATCCTTCAGTGAAGGAAACAGCAGGGACTGTGAGAAAGAATGGTGAAACTGGGAGGAACCTCGGCATTGTTTTAAGAAATGTCTGATTTCAATTTATCCAATGTCAACAACCTGAGCTGGATGTTTTGTTGTTTATAAATAGCATAACTATTTGTTAATATTACAAGTGAATAAAGTCCCTCCCTCTCTCTTTTTCTCTCTCTCTGTGTCTGTATATCTCTCTGTGTGTGTGTGGTATGTGTGTGTATAAGAGGAGAAAGGAAGAGGGAGAGACAAAGTTGTGGGTCCTACTCATATTTCTGATCACATTGATTCCACAAAGTCTAAAACACATAACTGCTTCATTTTTTTCCGATTGCTGGATTTCAAAGGGACATCCTAATGAAGAGTCCCCTAAAAGTTACAAATTTGTTCAAACTTTATTGATACACTGCACAATCACAACCATCTTGTATTCATCCTGAATTAGAAAAGGTTACAACTACAATGTAACATGCACAAAATTCAGGTAGTATATTCACCCTCAATACAATGGTTGACAGAAATCAAGTCTTCATTGATTTTTGAAGGAAAAAATAAGAAAGTAAAAGAAAAAGAACTTTTAAAGGCTGACAAAGTTATATTCTTGTATCATGTGATAAAATTTTAAAGCATCTGAACACAGATTTGTTTTGAGAATAATTGTGAAAATGGGTACACCCATTGTCCAACACATCTATTAACGGCACCATTGATAATCATATAAGTTTTTTTTAATCTAGAGGACTCTGAACTTGACAGATACATTTTCATACACCCACACATTCCTCACAATTGTACTTTACATGTCACGAGAATTTCTGAATGATTAAAAGTGTTCCTTTTCACTAACACAAGGGCCGATAATATTACTTACCATTGTTATTATGGAGATTCTTATACTCTGCCAAATAACCTAGGATCGAGCCCCACAAGGATGATGGGAAGCTCTCAATCTATCTTTCTTCACCAAGTGGTATGGAACAACCATGTGCCTAAAAAGGCCACCACTCAGGGGAGGGGGTGCGGGAAGTCTCTTCCAAAATGCTGGAGACTGGGTTTAGCTGACTACTTTCACTATGAAGACAATTGCATCTAATTAAGTCCACTCCACATTCTTTTAGACTCCATATTCTGCACCTGAAGGCTAAATTGCACCGGTTCAGCTTCATCTTTTTGCCACATTTGTAATTGCAAATCTATTTCTCCTTCCTTTCATTTACTTCTCTTCTCTTAAGTAAGAAATGAGGGAAATGAGCCCAGCATTTTTATTTGTTTGCTTTCTGTGTGGCCATTAGAAGTTCTAATCACATGGCATCCTGTACAGTGTTGCCCTTCTCCTTGAACACCTGTGAGGTGCTACTGCAGCTACTTAAACGTATTTGTCTTGAAACAGAGAGCAAAGCTTTGGATAATAAGGGGGGAAGCAATTGGACATGAGGATTTCTAGGAATGAGGCTTATGCTAAAGAAAACCCAAATATGCTTGATATTGGAGAAAAATACATTTTGTCCCCCAAAGTTAAAAGTAATAATTATGTTGCTTCCTCTAACTTCAATAAGAATAGCTCTGGAGGGGAATCATTTTTTTTTGATGCTGGTGAAAACTCTGGATCAAATTAGGGGCAGATACTCCCTCACTTCTTCATAAGCTATTCTTCCCCACCATCTCTTATGGGGCTGGTAATAGCTATATAGGCTACTAAGAGCATGTGTTCTTTGTCCCTGGAAGCATCAATCGAAACATTAGTATTAACTTCCCAACAATTCCTCATCCTGTGGCTGTGATAAACTCTCTGGGATCAAGTGTCTACTTGGGGGGTTAGGGGTTCTGTTCTTTTGATACTTTTCCTATTGTAGGTAGATTTGCTATTCCTTCTTGCTGAGGACAACTTGAACAGATGGATATAGGAAGAGATCATTAAAATGCAGCCTCAGTTATGAGGATCCTAAATATCCAGACAAAACTTATGACCATATTTTGAGAAATAACTTCCCAACCTGTGAACAACAGCCCAAAGCAGTGTAAGGACAGGTGTGAGCCATCTTGTTGATATACAGATGTCCCTTTCCATCTGTTGAACACAGTTTAGCCCACAGCAGAAGAGCCATGTTCCTAGGTCTCTGTGTCAGAGCTGTATATGTTTTGATAACTAATCCCCTATGTCTCCAACCTTCCAAATGAGAACAAAACAAAACAAAAAAAGAAAATCCAAACACCCTTGATTAAACTTGCAGATGACTATATCAGGCACTTGACATTAAACTACTCAAAAAAAGCAGGCTTTGCCAGAGGCATAACTTTAGCACTTTCACTGGCATTACTTTGGTGAAAGAACAAATTAGCATTGTTTTGGGAGAAGTTTTAGAATAACTACCTCTGCTGACTTCCTTTTACCTAATCTCTTGATAACCTGTATTTGGTTTTTACTTAGAAAACCCACAGTATTCTACCAACTACTTAGAGTAATGTGATTCTTTTCTTCCAAATCTTTTATCTTCCTCACACTCACTCTTGGCAAGCTAAACAAAACTGTCTAGTGGGCCGGATCCACCCACCCTCCGTGTGTAAAGTTGGAAAGGCATGTGTAAGTGTGCATGTTGTTTTTTAGCAAGCAGCTGCTGTTCTGTGTGCTTCAGAGAGTTAGGGATCAGTTCCCATCACACGAAGTCATCCTTATCAAAGTCATTCAAATAATAAGAGCTGGAACATGTTTGCTGTAAGGAAGTCACTTTCATATCTGGTACCCAGATGCCTTAACTCATTTCTACTTTGCTTTATTTTTCCAGACTGAGGAGGATTGACTGGAGAATGTGTTTTCTTCTGAAGTATGGGTGCAGTAGGTAACCACCAGAGAAACTTCTAGTATCCAGTGAAAGTAGGCACAGCAGAGACGCATGGTGACCCTGAGTCCATACTCAATTGGGGTTCTGATGATCTGCTTGCCCAAGGTGGTGAAGAACAATTTGGGCTTGTCCATTTCAAGCAGCACATCACCCAACACGATTCAGTTTCCATGGCATCCACATTTCTTTTTCTCCAAAGCAACAACTGTAGTATTAGTAGAAAATGCAAATGCCATGTTTATGTCTCATACAATGCTTGACACCAACCCAATCCCAGGTGCTGAGCATGGTGACAGATCTAAAACTCATATATCCGACCTGTAATTCTGACTTTGTGCCTGCTCCTGATTGCTTCTGGAAGTTGGAATAAATAGACTGTTTTTGGCACATCATTTATGCTCCCAGAATCTCATTCTTGGCAGCTCACTAGGAAATGCAGATGTCTGTTTACAGCTGGCAAGAAGAGCATTAATTTTGCACCCACCAGCTCTATCTCTTATGACAGTGCCGAGCTTTCGTATGCCAAGGAAGTCTGCATTTGTATATATGTGAATATGTATACACAGGTATATATGTCCCTACTGTGAGTATTGTATTTGTGTGGCCATAGTGCCACAGAGTGGGCAGTTATACTGCAACAAGTGATCAGTTAAGCTCTAAGGGAAGTGAACTCTAATGGAGCCCACAGTCACTTAGTTTTTACAGGTGAATCTGGAAAGTGTCCCTGAGGGAGGCAGGACAGGTCTTAGAGAAAGTCACTGCTGGTGTTCTGTGTCAACTTCTCAGTAAGCCAGTCCTTCCAGAAAGCCCCTTGGGACCTCTAATGATGTTTGCTTGAACTGCAGGCTCCCTTGTTGGCTTAGTTCTTCTTTTCCCAGGAGGCGATGCTGAGAGGTGGAATCAGATCTTCTTTGTATATGAGGCCTGCTTTGAACATAGGAATTTGGGGGCATTTATCCCCAAAGCCTCGAGAGAAATAGCCTAGGAAAACAGTATTACTTACACTTCCCCCCTCTGTTTGCCGTGTTGTGTTAATCAAGTGCTCAGAAATTAAGTCAGTAGCTCAAGTGCCCTCAGCTCAGAAGAGCTTTCTGAAACAAATACCAGAGTTGTCAACATACACGCCACATAATTGGCCTCCATCAGCCCTTTGCTGGATAATTTTCAAACAATTCAAATAAAAACTGGAGCCGATGGGAGATACTGAGCTCTAGTTATCACACTTCAGCTGATGGACCACTGTCTTTACATCAAAGAGACAGATATTTGTATTTGGGGGGGCAGGAGGGGGGTCAGGTTCTTTCTGCTAATGAAAGCCAGCCACGAAGAAGTTTCTCCAAGTTCCTGACATGTACTTTTCTTGAAAGGCTGGGAGAAACATGGGGTTGGTACCTTAATTTTCCAGCTGTTAAAGGAGAAGTGCAGCATAATCAAGGCTTCTCCAGGGCTGGCCTGCCTCCTGAGAAGGTGGCTCAGGGAACAGTCTCTCTGAAAATCATGAGTGACTGATCTTTAGATTGCTACTTTGGTCCATCTGTTCACAAGGTCTAATTTGGGTGGATGGGTTACTGCATTCCCAAGGATGAATGGCATAAGAAATTGTTCTTCTGAGTAGTTAGCCTGCAAGATCACTGGCTTTCACATAAGAAGTTGCTAGGCAAGTTTGAAGTGGCAATGCCTATTTGTGGTAGTGGAGAAATAGAGATAGTGGCATAGACACAACATGATTAGAGATTAACATGGGATGAGTTGATAGTGTGTAGTGGGAAGAAAAATGAACAATTAGATAAATAGAGCAAATAGATTATAAGAGAAAAAGATAGGCGTGTTTCTAAATGGAGAGACAAATCAATTGAGTAACTAGATAATAGTATGTTTGCTTTGATAGCTTGATATAATTAGCCAGCTATTGATCAGTTTCTATGAGTTGCAACAGCATTTTAAGGGAAGTACTACCCTAAATAGGCTTTCCTCATTTGTTTACTTGAGTCCTAAATTTGTAGCTTTGGGTACATGTATAGTCTCAGGACCATAAGTCTTATAGCTAGTGAATAAAATGCAGATAGAGCAGAATGGCCAGAGAAGATGGCAAATTTTTACATATGGATGTATGTGTGTGCACATTTAAGGATGTAGGTAGACAGCTTCTTAGATGAAAAGTGTGAACCCCAATGTGATAGGTGATATTAGCATGAGGCTAAGGATATGAACTTTTTAAACTGTCTTATTAAAAGCTAAAAGGACAAAGAAAATAGGACATGTAGATGCAACTCTTATTGTGTACTGCATTGTGAGCCAAGTTGTACCTTCAGGGTGCTTGTCATGGGATATTTTAGACCATTTTTATGGTGTGTGTGTGTGTGTGTGTGTGTGTGTGTGTGTGTGTGTGTGTATGTTATTGGTAATAAGAAGAGAAGTAGAGAAAAGGAAGGCCAAGGTAGCAGGAATAGATTCCATTTTGGGGCACACCAATGAATGATTTATCCTACCCTTGGTAGAACCCTACCCATCCCAACCCCCAACCCCATTCATTCAAACTAAAAAAGAAAAATCAAATAAAATTGAAAATCCCAGAAATCAAACCAAAAAAACCCCTAAATAGTCAAGAAGAACAAAAATAAACAAAAAAGAAGCCCAAACTGGTTTGCCCTCCGCAGTGTAGATTAAAGTCTGTGATATGGAGAAGCAGGCGATGTTCAGAGGACCTATTATTTCTTATCAAAACTTGATGAAGAAGTGGGCAAAGAAGGTCCCTGAGAGCCAGAGACAAGCCAGTGCTCTAGAAGCCGAGTTTACACCATCAATGACTGCTCCAGGCCCTGTGTAGGGGAAAAAGAGACAGATTCATTAGCATGTATCCTATAGGGCATTATATTCACCCCTGACAAGCAAATGCAAGTCATGCTTCTCTGCAGCAGTAATCCCAAGTCCCACTCCTACCCACCGACTGTTCTAAGTGTACAGATCCAGAAAATGCCCAGTATGAAAAAGGAATGGTAAATGGAGGAGTTTATGGGTCACCTTGACTACTATCACCTCCTCTGAAAATTTGAGCATCAAAAATATGACAGAGTTGAGTTGATGACAGTTACTTAAGTACATAAGCACAAAGTCAGGGCAACAGACAGGGCTCTATAGTAAGCTAAGATATGATGACCCCTTCAGTGCCTGTAAAAAATCCCTTTCCATGGATATGGGCTCCAGTGTAGTCATGTGTAATCAGGAACTAGATAGGCATGGACAAGAAGGAAAGAGTCCCCAAGATAAGAAGCAAGCGTGCAAGAGAGAGAAATAGAGATATTTTGTAATAGAAGTCTTGATGGTGACTTCATCCTCTGTATATGCAATCTGGGTATTGGGAGGCCCATCTAAAAGCTGTTAAAAATGGTAACCAAAGACTGTGAGTGGCTATATCTTAGCCAACAGTGCTGGCTCTAATATATCCACAAACAAAACTCTGCATCCCCAGAACAAACTATCACCCTATGGGTGGCTTAGCTGGAAAGAATTCTCTCATGTTTTCTTTCTTTCTTTTCTCCTTTCTCTGGCCTTACAGAATCATGTACATTCCATGAGAAAATAAAACCCCAGAGTCATGAATCAGGCTTAGAAAGACAAACTACCAAATGTGCTTATCACCACTTGCGTAAATTCAAGGGCACCTGGGAATGTGTTGAACCCTGTCTCTTGGACTCTTCCATGAGCTCCATGTGCAAACACTTGGAGTTGGAAGAAAGACCCTCATCAGCAGCTCACAAGCAAATGTACCCCAGGAAAGCAACATTGCACATCATCAAAGGAGTGAAAGCCACGAGATGCCTCCTCCATAGGATCAGAGACAAAGGGAAGGATAAACACACATACAGTGAAGCTCTCAGGACACCTCCTCCACCAACAACTCAAGGAAGCTCTTCATTGCCTCTTTTGGGAAGCAAAATTACCTGTCAGGAAAGCTTTTTAAAAAGCCAAGGATCTTCTTGGACCAGAACCAAGTCATTGACTTGTCTATCAATCTATGTCATAGCAATGCCTAGGGAGGGGTAGGTTCAGATCTGTTCGTAGGGATGTCGACAATGAATTTAGCAATGTGAATGTAGCTCTTCCTTTCTCAAGAATTTCAAAACAAGTAAATTTCACCTTAACTTGCAATGTATGGAATACTCCTATAGTCTAAAATGTGATATTTATTTGATGATATCTTGAAGTTTGGCTTGTTCTGTTCTGTATGTTTACTATGGAGTATTCACATACATCAGCAGGAGCCAGACTATCATAGTGCTATATAGCCCATGGAGATGAAAAATATTTGTAAAATTAGCCTGATTCTTGGAAGTCTAGAAATGTCAACATATGTCCTCATTTATAATATTTGTGTATAGAAGATAGTACTTTTGAAAATATTCAAGTTGAAGATCAATGAAATTCTCATATTGTGTCACGGATAGGACAGGGATGGACAGAGTCTTTCAATGTAGTTTTAGCTAACCTCAAACCTGTGATTCACCTGCTACAAATAAATAGCTTTATAATGAATTAAACAATTCAGATTTGTAAGGCTTGTGTGTTTCTTTACAAGTTTCTTCCTAAACTTGTGTCTCTATAATACACAGCTGTACTTCAGCATTTTCAGGATCCTGTTCCAGAAGCCACTATATATACCAAAATCTGCAAATGCTCAAGAACCTCAGATAACATGCAAAGTGCTTTCACAGAACTGGCATACATTCTCTTTATACTTTAATTCGGTACCAGATTATTTGGGACATATAATTCTATGTAAATAGCTGTTACATTGCTTACAGAATAACAGTGAGAAAGGAGGCTATATTTATTCAATATAAATAGTATTCTCTCTCTTCCTTCTCATTTTCTTCATTGTTGTCACCTTCCTCCTCTGCCTCTTCCTATTCTTGCTCCACTTTCTTCCTCTTCTTCCTCATTCTCTTTTCCTTATCTTAGGTTTTGGCCGCTGCATATGCTAGACAACTACCTTACTACTAAGCAGCATTTCAGTATGAACATACAATTTTCAATGTGCATTTAGTGAAATCTACAAATGCAGAACTTATGGACACTGAAGGGTAGTTACATACACATATACTTTTTTTTGAAAGTATATTTGATTTTATATGTACATATAGTCAAGTTATATATATTATATATTTGATTATATTTGTATATATAATCAAGCTATATATATTATATATAAGACTATTTATACATGCTCATACATGTAAATATGTATGTATACTTGTGCTTAGCTCATTTACTTTGTTGATTTTAACTTGGGGAACAACTGAAGCCCCTGTTCCACTCTCAAGAAATGGGTGGTTAGTGTGGGAGGCAGTGGGTAGATGTAAGCCTTTTGGGGAATATCTGTCATGAATCATGGATCTAGTTGAAGCAAACCATAAAAGAGATAGAGACAGAAGGATGTGGAACCCTAAAAAAAATATGTATTTCATGTGGTGTGGGTGAGATACTTGGGGCTCACTGGATAGAGGGCTAAGAGGAGGTTTTGTTTTGCTTTTCTCTTTTGAATATTCCTGAGTGGAAACCATGAGGGTGACTTAGTAAAGCCACCGGTTGCTCAATGTGCAAGCAATAATAAAGATGGTATGTTTGTATCATGTTCTATATGGGCCATGCATGAGCCAAAGGGTTAAGCATATTTAAATTCTTCTACCATCAAAGCAAACCCTAAAATATATTGTCCTTTTCAACTCATAAACTTCTGAACTAAGGAACAGAACAGTTCTACAGCTTGCCTAGGATCATAACAATCTGTACACCTAGAGCTGAAATAGACCCAGTCATTGTCCACAAAGTCTGTGCCTTGGTTCTGACAGCCCTTCTTACTCTCTGATGAAAAAGATTCTTCATGTGTTCCAGGTATCTCAGCACCATTGGACTATGGGAGTAATGGACTAGGAACTAGATTATATGCCTCAGAGTTCACTAGCAGAGTGCCTCTTTTTCTGTGCTTTGGGTCTCCCATCTGCAAATAGAGAAGAGGTAATGTGTGTTGGATGGTAAGGTTCTATTTATATTTGTTGAATCTATGGAGACTGTGCATCTGATGATAGGAGGGACAGCTGGTAAGCAGCCAGACAGCCTTCAGTAGGAACTACAAGCATTGTCATGTGGCTTTTGATACCATTGCAAGACTGTCCCCTCCTAAGACAGCAAGGGGCTTAGAAACATGCCTAGACCTTACCACTTTCCTCCATTTTTGGCCCTAATTTCAATGCAGCTCCAGGGAGCTGCTTCTCTATTTAACAAGCAAGACAAGCACCTGCTTGGTGTATCAGGTGATATCGTAATTTACAACCAAAGTGCCTTTGGTTAATCAGTCAATGAAAAGTGGTTATTGCAGACTAATAATTAATCTAATCCACCATGATACAGATTAAAACCAACATTTTTTCCTAATACAAATCCTGGACACATCTGAGATTTGGCTGCTGGTCCAAATAGGAAGAATGGCGCTCTACAGGATAGCTCTGAGCCTTTGTTGCAGAGCAGGCAGGCAGTGGCTCACATCCATGTACCTCTATGTTGGAGGGCTGTGAGCCGAAAAACATCTGCAATGAGCTGCTTCTTAAATTATGTCCTTAAAGTAACACTGCTTGACTAAGAATAATAAAAAGAAAGGACCTGAATTGGGTGGCTCCCTCTAGGCTCCTATATGTTACAGTGAGTTTGCTGATTTAAGTAACTGTTTCTTTGTGCCAGAATATGGAAACAGACAACAGAGTGATATTCTTTAATCAGCATGGGATATATACACCTGGGAATACCCTAAGATGGAGTTGGCTTTTGCATATACACATAGCTCAGTGAATATGTTGAGTGAATCTATGCTTCAGGGAACTGGATAAATTTCCTCACTCTGAGTTTGGTGATGGCTGCACAGATGTCTCAAATGTCTGAAACCTAGTTTACATTCTAGCTTCTTCAACCGCCAACTGCATAGGCTTCTCCAGACACAGGACAGCTAACACCAGTTTTAACTTTAACAAACATGATAGACAACTGAACTGATGTCAAGATTATTTTTTTTTGTTAGAATGATTATTAGTGGAAATAGCCTGGAAAGGAGTTTTCATCTAAAATCAAGACTCTACGATTTGAAAGAAGACAAAGTTTCAGTGCTGTGCTCTGATCTAGCAGTGTGACACTGAGGTATGCCTGTAGAAAGGCTAATGGTCTGAAGGAAAGGAAGCACTACATAATGGACAAAGAAACAGGTCCATGGAACCATGGAGAGTGAGGCTGTCGAGTAGCGCTTGGGGAAAGATGTTTGAGGCATTCTGCTTCCTTGATCTTTCTACCTTCCCTGTGAGGTCTAAATTGGCTTTGAGCTGGAGTTGTTGATAACTCACAAGTGTAAGTCATTCACTTAAGTTTGGAGTCAGAGCAATTTAAGTTTACAACCCCACACTGCCTTGCTATATTTGATGTGGCCTCAGATGAGGTACTTTGTGATTTTCTTGTTGCAAATTGAAATAATTACATGGAGTACCAGGATCCAGTGGTGAAGACAGTGCTTGGAACATAGTAATCATGCTACTAAGGTAACTGTTGCTGTGGATTGATGCTTTCGCCCCCACCAACTCTATAGCTTTGCTGGGATGAATGCTAGATTATTTAGATCCTTCACAAGTATGTTGAACTTTGAGTAACATTGTGGTATGGATGAAGAAAGAGTTTAATGGTCAGAGTGACCAGGGCTGAGAGAGACCATTGCATATAAAGGATTCAGAGGATTCTGAGTACCAAGGGTGAGGGGAGAGGGCCTACACTCGACCTTTACAGC